AAAGCAGCACCAAGAGGAACACGTCTGGCCAGCACCACCCACCATCACCCGGTCCCCCCAGGCTGCCCCTGTCCCACCGCGGGCCGCTAAGGTACCTGTGGCGTGTGCCAGCTCCGAGGCCGGGGGCGATGCCCTGTGCAGGGCAGCACTGCCCATCTTGCCGGCGAAGCTGCCGATCAGGCGGTTCTCCAGCTCTGCATACACAGCTGACATCTGGGGAGAGGACAGAGAGCTGCTGCCGTGCCTGAACTGGGGTGGGGCTTGTGCACCCCCAGAGACCTGTGATGTCCTGGGGACACAACAGCCCCCATGGACCCACCAGTCCCCATCTCTTTAAGGAGAGCTTCACCCCAGCCTGAGCTACTCTGCCTTTTCTGTCACCCACACCGTTATCACCACTGTTAATGAATTAACTGTCTGTTAATAAGGCAGACACCAGTCCCACTGAAGGTGACCAATTGCCCAGGGAGGTGACCTCAGAGATGGGCTTTGGGGTAGGGACACTGTCAGTCACCAACAGTGACCAGTTACTCACAGACACATTCTTCCCCATGCCCTTATTCCTGCTTTCCTGTGTTAACAGTAAAGGAATCAAACTGCTAACCCTCCCTGTGAACACAGTGTCCTACACACATGGGCAAAGCTCTTCCCAGAGGTGTCCCCCCCTCATCCCCACACCATCACACCATTTTGGGGTTGGGTGTCTCCGGGAGGGATGTGCCATCTCCAGCCTGTCTCTCTCCAGGGATCAGGCGAACTGGGACCTCCACAGTGTCACTGCCTGGGAAAGGAAGAGGCAAACCAGTCAGGAGCCCTTCCTCTGCTTGTGGTCCAGAGCTCCTGACCCATCAAGGTCCCCCTGACTCTTGCTGGGACCTGGAGTGACTTTCCTGCCCCAGCTCCCACGTTTGGAGATCCCAAGGGATAGTGCAGTGTGGGGATAAGCTCAACACAACAGTTTCGGGCTGCTCTGCCCTTCCTTCAGGGCAGCTGAGGACAGGGCTGCTCCCCACAGCTGGTGAACATCTGCCCAGCCAAGCAGCTTGCCTGCAGCACACACAGCTGTCAGACACTGCCCATGCTGTAATCACAACCAGAAGTGCTCCTTGGAGGCAGGTTAGAGGATCTTCCCTGGGGGAAAGCCTCAGACCCCCCAACAGCTGAGGAGAACCATGTGCCCAGGAGGTCCTGGTAGGGAGGTCCTGGTGAGGAAGCCCTGGTGAGGAGGTCGTGGTCAGAAGTCATAAGCACAGATCAAATGGCCTTTGTAATCAGCCAAGAGCAATGGGCAGGATGCTGTGTCCTCTGAAGGGAGGGAGAGTTTGTGTCACGAATGTGGTTTATCAGGTGTCCCAAAGTGTCCCTGAAACAGATCTCCTTCTCACATGGATTTCACAAATGCTGTTCCCCCTGTGAATTTGAGGGAGTCCAAGAATGTTCATGGAGAAGGGATGGCTCAGACCAGCCGAACCAGTTCATGTCCAAGTAATAGAAAGGATTGGAAAAAATATTTATCCTCAGCCCAAGAAGCTTCTTATTGAATTGCTTATTTCAGCTGTCTCTGAAAACATGGATTTCTACTCAGAGCCTCAGTGCTGGCTCTGTGCTGGCTTCCGTCTCGTCCTCCATCTTCTCCCACTGTTCATGCTTGCTAATAGTTCAGGATTTTGGCTTGGTGCAGAGCAAAGGACACTGCAGGCACAACCCCAGGAGCCAGCCCCCTCCTTCCCACCCCCATCCCCCACCTGCTGCCCCTCCTTCCCACCTCCATCACCCACCTGCTGCCCCCTCCTCCTCGGGCCGGGGGGTGCGGAGGCTGCCCCGGCACAGGGATGCTCCTCGGACGGAGCTGCGGTACCGATCCTCTGCCTCCGCCTCGGCTGCAGCACAAACACCTTAGTCAGGCACTGCTGGACCCCACAGCTCCTCTGTCCCCCCTCACCATGGCACGGGGGCTCCCCCAGCCCATTGCCTGCCATTCCCCCAGGCATTCCCCCATCCTGCACCATCCCCAGGGAGCTCAGCAGGTTCCAAAGGCACCTGTCAGCACAGGGTAGGGATGGATAGCCAACAGTGGGACATCCAATTGCTTTTTCCAGCAGCATTAGCATCCACCAGCCCATGGGGCACATGAAACTCCAGTCCTGAGCTAGGCTGGTCCCTGCAAACTCCTTCCTGCCCTCAGGGACAAGAGGGAGTGAGGCCAGCACTGGAATGCTGCCTGGAAGAACCACATTGTCCATGCACTGTCTGGGTGCAGTTCAGCGTGGCAGCTTGGAGAGGCTCAAGCTTGCAGCAGGATGAAGAGAGCATCACGCTCTGAGGTACCCAACAGCCCAACACACAGACAGCAGAGATCTCTGGAGTTTGGAAGCCCAAATTCAGGGATCTGTGGCATTACTCTTCCAGGCACAGACACACAGAATGGACCAGAACAACAGGAGCTTCTCATGGGCAGAGACTGCCCCTATCAACTGAGACACTGAAAGGAGCCAGAGACCAGCCTGAAACTGGGAACAGCAGCCTGAAACAGCCTGGTACAGGGAGATTTTCTCCTCCCCTGGCTGGGGATACCTGCCCTGCATTCCTAAAATACAGCTGCAAACTTCTGAGTTTATCCACTAATTATAGGGCAATAGTTCTTGGGAATCTCCAGCCCATCAGGTAGGTTGGGCCATGGTTCTGCACATACAGAGCAGTGGTGACTGAGAGTGCAAACCCAGGGAGCAAATCCAGTGTCCATGGAGCACAGGATTCCATGCACCACAGGAAGGATGTGCACCAGGACTTGAAGCTGCTTCTGTTTGCTGCTAAAAAAGCTGTGTTTCCCCAAAAGCTTCTCTTTAGGCAGCATCTTTTTCACCTTTGCTGAGTCTAAAATAAACTCATCAATGTAAGCAGCTGAGCATGGAAGAATTTGGACACACTTCAGAGCCCAAATGCACAGATTAAGACATGTCACTCCAAGTTTGCCCTCAGCAAAGCACCATGGGGCTTGTGCTGCCACAGAACCAGGTGATGTGGAGGGGACAGGGGACCACTGACTGTCTTCCATGTCTTTTTGGGAGAGCAGCACTGCACTCCCCTCCTCTTCCAACCACAGATGTTTGCATGCACCTGACTGCTGGGGACATCCCAGGGGACACTGTGTCATTGCTTATTTTACCTCCCTGACCTGAACACTGCCCTTTAATCGGTTATTCCCCTCCTGGACTGTCTCACCTCTAACGACCCAAACAGCTTCCAAAAGCCTCTGCTCCCAGGGACACACACTCTGGTGCCATCTCTCCTCTCCACACAGTGTCACTCCAAAACTACACAGATCCTAGCAAAACAGACCGAGATCCTGGGGACCTGCAGGGACACAGTGTGTCCATCTCAGAGTGCAGGGACTTTCCTCTCACCTGCCAAAGACTTGTACCCAAGAAACCTGTCAATCTTTTGCTGACAGTGCTCCTGCTCTTCGTAGGTCAGCAGCTGGTAAATAAACTGCCAGATGACTTGCTTGGCTGGAGTGTCCAGCACGGGGTACACATCCACAATCAGAGTGTCAATGTTCCTGCAAAATGGGAAAGAGAGGGCTGGGCACTGAGGGCATCCCTTGGGCACAGCCCTGCCACACTGCTTCCCAGGGCTCTGAGGCTTCCCACACGGGGTCTTGGCAGTTGGGATGTCTCAGAGGCTTTGGCATGAACTGGTTGTTTCACAGAGGTGTAGGGATTAAAAGCCATGTGGATGTGGCACTTGGGGACATGGTTAGTGGTGATCTCGGAAATGCTGGGGGAATGGGTGAACTTGATGGTCTCAGAGGGCTTTTCCCAACCTAAAGATTCCCTGATTCTGTGAGTAAAGGGAACAGGGAGCACCAGAAAGCAGAGAGAAACCCTGGAAAGACCTGGGGTCAGCAGCAGGTGAGCAGACTGAGGGAGAAATGCACTGGGGAGGGTGGCTGGGCTCTAAGTCTCCAGGGGTTTTGTGGGAATAGCAGGGCTGAGCACCCAATCCAGTGAGGAGGGTAAAGCAGTCTGCAACAGGAAGGAATTCTTCCCTGTAAGGATGCTGAGGCACTGGCACAGGTTGCCCAGAGAAGCTGTGGCTGTTCAATCCATGAAAGTGTTCCAGGCCAGGCTGGATGGGACTTGGAGCAACCTGGGCTGGTGGGAGGTGTCCCTGCCCATGGCAGGGGATGGGACTGGACAGGCCTTAAGATCCTTCCAACCCAAACCATTCCGTGATTCTATGACAGCCTGTGATAAAACACTAGTGAAAGACTAAGCAAGGGCAGGAAACAAGGTCACTATTGAAAGACTGGAGTGTGCCAGGGGATAGGTTTGGATCCCTGCAGTAGGGCAAGGAGGATGTGCTCCATTGTGGGGCGAAGGCTCTGCCAGCCATAGTAATTCCCATGCTGCCAGCAAGGGAATGCTGCAGCCAAGATGCTGAGAAGAGTGAGAAGACAGTCCAAGGACTGAACACGGAGAGATTTACAGGAAGAGGTGGAACAGGAGTTGCAGGTGTCAGGGACAGTCAGGCAGCAAGAGAGACTCCACTGGGGTGAACAAAGACACTCCATGAGGGACAGGGGCTGACCAAATTAACCTCAAAATCCAAAGGATCTGCACTGCCCTCAGGCAGAACACCTGGACAGAGATGGACTCATGCCCTGTGGAAGTTGGTGTGACAGCCTCCCTGCCCAGCTCTGCCTCTGCCTGAACACCAACCCTGGTGTGGGCACTGGCACCAGGCCAGGAAGCAGCATGAGAGGAGTGGAGCTGCCATGGAGTTACCGATGTTGGAAGAAGCTTTCCAGGGCCTTGCAGATGGTGTAGCGCTCAGGTGGGGTCAGCAGGTGCTCCAGCTGCTGCGTGAAGGTCCTTCCTTGGATCTTGATGCTAGAGGGGAGAATCTCTGCAACCCACTGCAGGGAGGTGAGGGAGGAGGAGCTGCTCGGGGACTCAGGAGACTCAGAGTCTGCAAAAAAATATTCCAGCTTTTCTTTTGAGGGCAGCGGAGCAGTTTGAGTGCCACCAGCTCTGTAGGTTGGCTGGACAGGGCTTGGAGCAACTTGGGAAGGTGTCCCTGCCCATGGCAGGGGTGGGACAAGATGAGTTTAAGCTCCCCTCCAATCCAAACCATTGCAGGACTCCATGATTTTATGAAGCAGTGAGGTGCTGGGTTTTGTTTCAAGCTGGCATCCCAGGGATCCTAATGGGTGATTCAGGGGAGTCCATTGCTTCTCTAAAGGGAAGAGCCAGTCCCTAATTCCCAGGTCTATGCATTGTGGAGCAGCACCCCAAGAACACAGCGACCCTCCTGCCCCTGTGACTCACAGTGCCCTGGGCTGGGCCCTGCCCCTGTGCTGAAGGGGTGTTGCCACCACCCACTGCCCCACACACCCTCAGCTCCTGCTGCCTCCTCACCAGCAGGGCTAAATTATTGATGGCAGCAGCAGGATAAGTATCCTGCAGAGTACAGCCCATCCCCAGCTGCAGGATTGCACAGCACCATGGATGCACAGGGTTGGATTACTGCAGCCAAGTACACAGCACAGACTGCACAGAAAGGACACTGCAAAGGACATCAAGGACAGTCACACATCAGGTTGAGCCCTCCTGGAAAGCAGCCATCCTGAGATTCAGCCTGATCCCAGAAAGCGAGCTGCATGTCCCTGGGAGAGGAGCTCCCTCCAGGCAGCGCCTTAAACCCACTGAGCCTATGGAGGTGCTCAGCAATTCCCTCCTACACCAGGAATTTGGGAGCTGGTGTGGGGTCTCCACCACTCCAGACCCTCTCCCTGCACTCTTACCGCTGGAGAAGTTGACAATCCCCTCCTCCACCACCAAGGTGGGCATGGCCCCACTGCCCTGCAACATCGACACCACCTTGTCATGGGAGCAGTTCCTGTGGGCACAGGAGAGCTGGGTCAGAGCTGTCTGTTCCCGCGGGCAGCAGCTCCCTAGAGAGCAGCAGGGAGAGGGAGCTCTCAGTTGCCTTCATTTAGCTTGGAAAAAGCTTCCTCATGCTGCTCTGAGCCAGGCAGGATTTGGCCCTGCTGTGATTCCCCTGGATGTGAATCCAAACCTTTGGATTTGGATCTCTACACCCAATCTTTGCCTGGTTCTACCTGTGCTGCACAGAGAGGAGCCCTCCCAATAGAGAACCTGGGTCATGCCCCGTGAGTGGGCTCTCCACTCTTCCTGCACCAAGAAAAAGCCATGGGGATGTCTGTGGGCACCCTGCAGAGCACATGGCACGTGAAGCCAGTGCTAAGCTACAGCCAGACCCAGAAAATGAGTTTCCCTGTAAGTGACACAGTACTGCAGGTCTCTCCTTGCTTGTCCTAGTTCTGCATGAAAAGAAAATTCAAGGTGAATATAAAGTTTAATTTTGTAGGCAAAACCATCTTGGGATGCCCTTGGAGAAGGGTATGGGCTGGGCTAGGACAAGGCCTGCCAAAACACGGCTCAGAAGACAACCCTCAGCCTGCTCTCCTCTATTCTGTGTCAGTGCTGCATCAGCCAACAGTTTGCTGGATCAGCTGAAATGTGAGAACCTGAGGCCTGACAGAAGCAGCATCAGATGTTTAACCTTTAAATATTCATCGCTCTCTCTTATCCTGTAGCCTTCTCTAACCCTTTGCTCTTGTTTTCTTGTGTGGAGAGTCCAGCTGGAGGACACAGACTGCTACCTGTGCTGGTGAGGAGCACATGGTCTTCTGCTTCCATTGCTTTGGTGCACAAATAATATACAGAAGTTACTTTCAGTGGAAATGTGATTCCCATGTGGCTTTTTAAGCTCATGATCCCATTCTTGGAGGGACTCATGGTACTCTGCTGCTTTCAAAAGCAGAACCCCAGGTGTTTAACACATACAAATTAACTCACAGTGGCTCAAATCAGAGTCTGGGGGTGGCTGCAGTCAGGACTCAAATTGTATAGCTTGTCCTGCATTATACATCATTATTTGCACAGAGAAATCAGAGGAGGAGCAGGGATGGAGCAAAACACTACTCCCAGAGCCAGATTTTGCAAAAGAATATGAAAGGAGATGTCCCCATGGGGCAAACCTCCTTGTGCACCACAGCAAACAGCTCCCCAAGACCTGCAGCTCTCCTTTCTCTTGCACAAGGGTGACCACACGTGTGTGCTCAGCCCCTGCCACCCCTGCCCCTGGGCACAGGTGTTCTGCAGAGCTCTTACCTCATGTCCAGGCCGTTGAGGAACAGGATCCTGTCTCCAGCTTTGAGAGCAGCCTTCTCTGCTGGGCTCCCTAAACACATGGGGAAGAGAGGAGCTTCAGCTGGAGGCATCTACTGGCTGGAATGTGGTCCCAGCTCCCCATCCCTGCCCAGAGACACCCCCAGGCAGGGCATCCACTGCAGCTGGGTTATCCAAGTGGGTTGGGCCCTTGCACTGGCAACATTGGTGCCATTCCAGTATATTCACAGAACACACATTTTCCACCTTTCAAAACAAGGAGTGGATGAACCCAACCTAAATTGTACCAAAGACGCTCATTATTCCACTGGGAAACTCCATCACTAAACCTTGGAAAAGTTCTTTTTGCTATTTTCTAGCAAACAGCACTAAACATTTCAAGCTCAGAGCAGAGATCACTGAGTGACTTTGAACCTTGTGGCTGGAACTGTTCTTACCTGGCAGGACAGACTCAATCCACACTGGGGCATGGCCACGGAGAGTGAAGCCAAAGCTCCTGTTGCCTTTGTAAACTCGCACAGTTCTGCAGGTGCAAAAAGTAAACGGGACACCAGAGCTCAAGATTTGGCTCTACTTTCCTTCCCCAGCCCCTCCACAACCCTGTTAGCCCAGGTGTCTCCTGAGTCCCCAACACTCCCAGTGTCTCTGCAAGGTCCCTTTTGACACCAAAGTGTCTTTCAGATGTGGTTTGAAAGAGGAACATGGGATAAATATATTTACTTAAAGGAGACAGATATAGCTACAGAGATATAGATAGGGGTTGGAATTAGATGATCTTTTAGGCCCCTTCCAACCCAAACCAGTCTGTGATTCTTTATTACACAGAATTAGAGAGACATGGTTCAGAGAGCAAAGGTTTTACAGGCTGATGAGAGAGACATTAAATTCCTCTAGGATATTTTGGAAGGAGCATTAGGAAATCTCCCTGCTGAGAGGCCAATGGCAGCTGGGAATTGTTCCAGCAGGGAGCTGGGAGAAGGCAGCATTACTGAGATAATTTACAACCAGAAAAATCCTATACTGGAAAGGAGGGAAACTGTACTGGAATTGCATTTTGGACAAGTCACACTGAAAATTATCCTGGCGGGAAGGTGGGCTGGAGCCCAACAGCCTGGATTCCCCAGTCCTGTTCTCCTGTTGGTGAGCTGGGCCTGGGATGGAGCAGGAGCCTCTGCCATCACGGGAGGGCTCTGCGCCCTCGGGGGCTGCTGAGGTCTGGCCATCTGGGCACGGGAAGTGGGTTAATCCCTGTGCTCCAGGGATTGTCTGTCCTTCCTCCCACAGCCTCACACCCAGACACCTGCTGGGGCAGGGCCAGACATAGAATCATGGAATTCTTAAGGTGGGAAAAGAACTTTAAGATCATCAAGCCCAACCTTCGAACCAGTTACATCACTAAGTCACATCCCCAAGTGCCACATCCACATGGTTTTGGACACCTCCAGGGATGGTGAGTGCACCCCTGCCCTGGGCAGCGTGTGCCAGGGCTGGACAACCTTTCTGTGAAGAAATTTTCCCTAATTTTCTATCTAGACCTCCCCTGGTAGAATTTGAGGCTCTCATCCTGGCGCTTGTTACCTGGCAAAAGAGACCGACACTACAACCTTCTGTCAGCCTGCTCTGTGCCCTGGCACCCTGCAGCCCACTGGCACAGCCAGGTACTCTGCATGCCACCCAACACAGGAGCCAACATCCCCTCTCAGCCTGCAGTGCCACCTCAGCTCCTCACATGGCTCGTCCCATCCAGCCTTACAACAGTGAGAGGACACAAAGGGTGACCCAGAGCTGGGACAAGGAGCACAAACCCATCCAGCCTTCAAGAGGAAGAGGTGTTTGTTCGCCCCAGTTCCAGGAGGGTTTCACACCGAACACATCCCCTTTTCCTCACGCCTCTCCCTTTCCCTGGCATCCCTTCCCCACGCTGCCCTCTGCACCGAACCATCTGCTGCTGCCCCGGGCTGGAGTGTGCCCAGGAGAGGAGTTACCTGCGGGCAGCCCCCGAGGCCACATTGCTGGTGATGAGCGAGGTGGTCTTGCGCAGGCTCTTGCTGAGCTCCTCGTGGCTGCGTGGCACAGAGCTGGCGCGGGTGGACACCAGCAGCCGCTCCTGGTGGTCCTCGCTGCGGCTGTGGCGCGTGCTGTTCACTCTTGGAGCGGCACAGCTTGCTGATCAGGCTCTGGGACACCACCTCGTCAAAGCGCTGTCGGTGCTTCTTGGGGATGAAAATTCTGGGAAAAAGAGGCAAGGGAAGGGGGTGAGGAGCAGAGCCATGGCAGCTGTGGCACAGAGCTCTGGGTCCAGTCATCCCTGGAGAGCAAAGATCAGAACTGCTTGCATGCTCTTGGCCTCAGTCCTCTCAGAGCTGCAAATCCCAGGGCTGAGGATACCAGGGATGCTGGGGACACACAGGGGTGCTGGGGACAGCAGGGGTGCTGGGGGCACACAGGGTGCTAGAGACACCAGGGGTCATGGGGACACCTGGGGTGCTAGGGGCATACAGGGTACTAGGAACACCTAGAGTGCTGGGAGCACCAGGGACACTAGCAGCATTTCTTCCCCCATCTCATGCACAGCTCCATTGGGGTGATGATATTGGACTCCTCCTCCAGTTCTGCTTCTTCCCCAGCATATTCTGGGACCCCCTAAACTTTGCTCCCTGTCTCCTGCCCCAGGACCTCTGCAGGCAGTCATGGACTCTGCTCTCCTGGGCTCTAGCCATGAATATTCCCACATTCCAGCTCCCTCCACAGCCAGGTGGGAACTTCATACCTCTTGGGAGGTGCTGCAGGGATGAGGACAGGACAATGACACTGCAGGCAAGGGGACACCGCTCTGGTTTGGGTCACCTCACCTCTGCCTGCCAGAAGCAGCCAAGTGGCATTTGTGCCCCCACAGGACCCCCAGGAGCCTCAGGGGATGCACAGGGAGTGCAAAGCAGGTGGGAGGGAGTGAGGAGGCTGTGCCTCCACTGCTCCCACCTCAGCCAAGGTAAATCCCACAACACCTGGAAGCACTTCATCTTTTCCTGCTGCCATCGCCTGCTGACACCTGCTCACCTGCCCCTACCCTCTGTTTGCACATTCAGGGGCTTCTGGAGGAGCTGTTATCTCCGAGTGTTTCTATAGCAACTCCTCCCTGCACCTCGCAGCTGCAGTGCTGTTAGACAAACCATCTCTTGAGGTTCATTAGTGCTCAGCACCTCACAGCGCCCAAGAACACACTCCCCGTGTTACCACAGCCTCAGCAGGGTGTGAGCACACTCCCAGCTGCCTGGGAATCACACCTCCCACGGGAGCAGCAACTGGGCCAAACTGGTGTCAGAGGGCCCAGAGGAACCTGCTCCGAGGGGCTGCAGGAGTAGGACACTGCTGGAGAGGCTGGGGCTGAGCTCACATAGGCTCCCTCAGGCAGCTCCACCACGGGAATACAAAAACCTGAGTGAAGCCAGAGGAGAAGGAAGGGAAGGCGTAAAATCCCATATCTACCAAGAGCAGGACATCTCTATTTCCCCCCAACAAAAGTCAACACTCAAAACAAGAGCTGCTGCAGAAGCAGACAGACCACGAGGCACCCGATGCTGGCAGATGCTCACATGGAGCATTTGGTGACAATTTATAGTAAGTAACACATTGGTACAATTCACGGGCCATTTTTATTAAGCAGCAGCTAGGAA